ACACACACACACACACACACACACACACACACACACACACACACACAGTCTTTCTTTCCCTTTCCAATCCATTTTACCGAAATCACCTGCGTTTGCTTATGAAGCATGACAGAGAGGAAATCTGCAACTCCATATTAAGATGAAGTTCTATACAGAATAGTGAGGACCCAAAAATGCCAGTTGTAATAATTAACCTGAATCTTGAGCATGAGATCCAGGTTTTTCATCTCAAAACCAAAGCTTAGAACCCAGGGAGGGTTGTCACAGAAAGGACAGATTACACCGTCATTGGAGTGAAACTGCTGATGGCCACAGTGTGAAGTGGTATCAGTTTAAGAACATCTGTCATCATTCTGCTAGGTGGCCCTTCTCCCTGTAACCTCCTGTGAAGAAAATTCACATACTTATGGCAATCAAGACATAGTTAAAGGTAGTAATGACCTGGTCTTCCAACCTTGATTTAACTTCCAGTCCTTATCAGAAAGAATATAGAGTTGCTTTAAAGTAATATTCATTGTTTGGTTCCAGGTTCCAGCTTTCTTCTCATGCTTGTGTTTGAGCAATACCAAACGCTCTAGGTAAGGTATGAGAATTATCCCAGAGTATATGCTTTAGCAGAGAATATACAAGCAACAAGTTTGTAGTCTGAAATTAAGTTTCACAATGAAAGTTCTATTGGTAACTTAGCTGCATGCTTGAGTTCCAAGTCCCTGTAGTCACGCACAGCCCTACATGGCCTATAGTCATGCATCTTTCTGAATTTGTCTGCCACTGTCCCCCAGCTCACTTACACACCTTGCCTTATTCTGGGAATATACCTAATAGGTTTCTACTCCAAAGTCTTTGAGGGTGCTGCTCCTCTTGCTGGTTAGTCTTCAGGGGTACCTACCTATGCTACTCTCTTACTGTCCAAGGACTCTGAGATAAAAATAGCAGAATTCTCTTCTTGGTGATATTTTTCCTGATTGGTTTTGTTTGTTTGTTTGTTTTGAAAATTTTACTTTATGTGTGAGGGTATCAGAGCTATTGGAACTAGAGTTATAGATAGCTATGAGCTGCCATGTGAGTGCTGGGAATTGAACACCGGTCCTCTAGAAGAAATAGCCAGTGCTCTTAACCACTGAGCCATGTCTCTAGTCCCAAATATTTATTCATGTATTTATTTTGTATACAATGTTCTGTCTGCATGTACACCCGCACACCAGAAGATGGCATCAGATCTGATTACAGATGGTTGTGAGCCACCATGATGTTGCTGGGAATTGAACTCAGGATCTCTGGAAGAGCAGCCAGTGCTCTTAACCTCTGAGCCATTTCTCCAGCTCCTACCCTGATCATTTTTTTAAAATAAAATCATGTCTCTGCCCCTTCTGGATTCCAGTCTACTTATCCTGACTGGCCCTTTTCCATAGATAAAATTGGCTTTTCTTCAGTTCTCACCATCAATACACTACTATCTACTTGTTGCTTGTTCATGTGTTGTTCTAATGAGTAGACCATAAGTTCTATAAGGCCAGGGATGGACCTGCCTCTGTTGATGACTTATGGTCTACTGGAGCCTAGAATCACAGCCACACATCAAATAGGCACTCAAACTTTGATGAAGTTACAATGTATCTGAAAGTTCCTGGCATTCATAGCTCTAGATCTTGTTATTACTTAGTACAACAAAAAAAATATTGATATTTCTCACTGCCTGAATTAGCTATATATTTTGTTACACATACAACTTTGCTTTTCTTCTTTTTCCACTTCAGAACACTGTTCCAATATATCTTTGCCCATCGAGTTTTATCCATTTCCTTCTTGGAATACATTTCAAATTGGAAATTAACAGATAGATGGCATATACCTGTAATCCCAGCATTTGGGAGGGGCAGGGAGCCCAAAAATTGACA